CATTGCATCACACATGTGGCTGTTCTTGGAAGTCAACCATTTCTGCAAGTTATCCTCAGGAGGCCTGATGTACTATAAGCACTTAGAAATGTGTTTCACTGTGACTGGAACCAAGATGAAATAGCAATATTAGAAGAGATGGTTTAGTTTATGTAGTGGCCAAGTATGCCATTAAACTAGAACAATGAGGACAGTGAGGAGATAGGAACATTCTACAATGTAATTTATTCCTTTCCAGTAGCAGTGGAAATTTTTCCTTCAGGCCTGAAACTGACCCCATCTGCCAAATATAAATCAGAATCAACTAACAGAGTTCTTCTAGATTAGTCACATCATAATAACATGCTGCACTTACACTGCACAAGGATCTCAAAGCACTTTCCTGGCATTAAACTATTTAGCCTCACAATGCCCCAGTAAGTATTATTAAGTATTATCATCACTCATTTAACAGAGAGGAAAACATTTGCACAAAGATTTGCTCAAGGACACACTGGGGGGCAGAGGAAGGGTGTCTACAGCAGAGCCAACCCCTCCCCCGCCCCGATCTCTCGAGTCCCAGTCCAATGTCTCAACTCATCCTTTCTTCCTGTTCTAGTGTAAGAGGAACCAAAGCTTAGTTCATCTAAGAACTAATGAATCATCCCAGAGAGAAGGAATTCAAATCAGACTATAAGCATCAGCCCCTATGTTTGGAATCATATTTCTTTTTATCAGAAGAAGAGATCCTGTTTCCAGTCCTCCCGGCCAATAGGAACCATGACCCAATCCCTGACAAAACTTGGGAGAATGGGAAAGGCTTGACACCCAAACTCCACTAATTTCAGAGTTCCCCTGGAAGAGTAAAAAGCAACAAAGAGTCCTGTGGCACCTTAAAGACTAACACATGTATTGGAGCATAAGCTTTTGTGGGTGAATACCCACTTCGTCGTCACATGCGTCTGACGAAGTGGGTATTCACCCACGAAAGCTTATGCTCCAATACGTCTGTTAGTCTATAAGGTGCCAAAGGACTCTTTGTTGCTTTTTACAGATCCAGACTAATACGGCTACCCCTCTGATACCTGGAAGAATGAGGCCATAAGCATGGAGACCCTGTGCCTTGGCCCATCCTCCAGGGCAGGCTCCCCTACTCTGACAGCAGGGGTCCACTTTAGTCGCACTACCAAAGTCTTCCATGCCAGAGGCTATCTCTTGGGGTCCTCCTTTAAGGGGATGAGGGGCCTTGTAGAAAAAGGAATGCAGCCCCAGGCTGTTCCCTGACCCTTTCCCACTGGTGGATCCTGCGCCCTGGGAAGTCCTTCCTAAAGCCCAAAGAAGGGAGGGGTGGTTGTCATGGGGCAGCGGATGCCTCCCTCCTATGGAGCTGCACACCTGCAAGTGGATGATCCCCTCTGCACACAGCTCACCTAGTCCTGTGTCTGCAGAGGATCAGGCAGATCCCTCCGAATCCCTGCCCTCCATGGGGGGTAACATGCTGTGGATCAAAGGCACCTCCTGGCCTTTTATTGGTTGAAACCCGTTTTTCACACCCTCTACAGGTCTCGTTCGATATTCCCAGAGTGCCACACCTGGTGAATACCTCACAGTAACAGGGCACGTGAACCTGGGGTTCTTTACAGCATAGGACAGGCAGGGAGGATTCATGCCGGCTCGGGCTTCCCCCTCTGAACAGGCTCCTAACATGTAGTCAGCGCATAGGAATGGATACCAATGAAGATGGTTCAAATGAGAGCCACAGTGATGCCCTGGAGGGCCATTTCCAGAATCTGTCTGAGCTACCGGGCAGTCGAAATACACCCTGGGCCTGATTTTTAAACATTCTGAGTCCCTACCACATCTATGGTCGATGAAATAGCAATATCGTGGTGAATTGTGGTCCAGATCCTGCATTCCTTGCTCAGGCAAAATTCCCACTGATCTGAAGGGAGTTTTGCCTGACAAAAAATCAGGCCCTAAGGAACTGCAACATTAGTTAACAAGAATTAGGCACCAAAGATTACACCCCCACATAAAAATGTACATGAAAATAATCTAAACACACAGTGCCTTCAGATTCCATCTTAAATTTCAAACAAACAAGCCTTCCCATGTTTACAATTTAAGCTATGTTCTCCCCCTCCCCCTTGAAATCCACACATATAAATACATTTTTAATCTCCTCCTACCAAAAATCTGTTCACTTTGCACTTACAGGTTGGGCTGTCTAATGACGGTCTTATTTAACTTCCAACACTAATTAAGAGAAGCACAGATATTAAACTAATAAGAACAGATACTACACTTGACCAGAGCACTTCCTCTCACTTCTGTTGCGGGGGAGGGGAGGGGAGATCAGTTGAGTGCATGCAAGTGTTTAGCAACCAGCCTGAGCCATCACTGCAATTAGTGATGCACATTTCATAATCGGAAACACTAGCAGTTGCATGCAACTGTCCCTACTACACACTTCACCAACCAGCCACAAAACAGTAGGCCAAACTAGGGACAAAAGGAAGAAGGCTGTGTCAACAATTTCATGTAGCTTTAGGGTAAAACTATCAACAGCCCAGATAGTATAGAAGGAGATATCACTCACAAGGAGTTTTTAAACTGGCACACACTAACCTCTCTATCCCGAGTGTTAAAAGCATGTTAAACAAGAAACAACTTTTACTGACAACGTGATAAAGAATCTTACTCTTCATCCTCACAACTATACTGTTGCCATCTTAAAAGATACTAGAATAATCTTCCAAAACACTGCTGCATTGCTGGTGGAAGAGGTAGTATTCTGGTTCATTACTGTAGTATTTATATTGCACCGGGTTTTCATTTGAGATGTTAGAATGATCAGTTCAAGTGCTTTCACTTAAAATTAAGGTGGCTACTTTACATTCTTGGGGGGGCTCCATGTAATGGATTACTGCCTGGGAAGAGGAGAGGCAAAGACAGACTTTACTAGTTAGCTGTCTCCCAAAAGCATGGTCTCCAGATTACCACTTTTAAAGGGAAACAAATGGAAAACACACACATCCCTGAAAGCTTTTTAACCTAAGATTATGACAACTGAAAGAGATTAGGAGGAAAAAACACCTCTCTTTTTCAGTTGGTTTATTCTGTACATTTGACAGCACCTTGTGCACCAGTCAGATTCACTGTTCCCTGTGTCAGCCAGTTTTCCCCCAGTTGCTTGCGTGGAGACTTCACACAGCAACAGGGGAGGAAAAACATTATAAAAATAGGATGTACTATAAAACAACAAGAATTGGCCAGGGGACTGAGGGGAAGAGGTAGCCTCTGAAAATGATCTTAGCTCCTTTTCTAAAAATTAGCTAGATTTTTTTAAGTGATGGTGTTCCTTTAAAATGCAGCTCTTACAATAGGATTGCTTTGATACACTATTGCAGAAAGTGAACTGCTTCCCTTCCTTGTATGAAGTCAGGCAGCAGTAGACAAAGTATCACATACAGTATCTGCCTTAGGCATGCTGGCTATGTCAACAGATTATCTCACATTGAACTGTCTAGACTGTTATTAATATGCAACTGATTCAACAGCAAGGACAATGCAGAATTAAATGGGGATTCTAAAATGAAATCACATTAACCGCTTCAGTTTAATTTAGCATGTTAAAAGTCTAAAGGAAACCAGATGTGACCGTCACTGAGGTGCAGACTGAATATTGATAACAAAAAGTGTTTCTCCCTTTGGAGTATTAAGCAAAGTTGGACTGTCCAGTTGCAAATGAAATCTGAAAATGTTTGTCCTGTGGCTGCCAGTAAGCCTTTCATAAAAGAAAGCTGAAGCCAATATAATTTTACTAGGTAAATCTCCAAGTATCCAAGCACAGCCCAAGTAGGTAACAATGCCACAGATTGTCCTGGAGTCCTATCATCCACCCAGAAACAAAAACAAAAAATCCTACCGCCCACTTACTAGAGAACTAACACATGCTAGCCTTGCGCTGGCAAATATTGCACTGGATCAATGCAAAATGAAATCCAGCCCTCGTTAGTCTTAACCTGCTTCTGTCACAGGGCATGTAAGTTACATGAGTGCCACATGCCATTCTACCCACACCTGACTATTCTTATAGACTTGTCGATTTTTTTAAGAGACACTAACTTACAGAATGTTGACAATCTGACGAACCTGTAATCACATCAAGCAACACAGTAGCTTAGCTTGTATCCTGCTATAATGAGGAGTCCCCTGTTTTTTCCTCCAGTATCCCAGTTGATAGTTATTTATGGTCAGTTTGTATTTGGGCTGGTCATGACTTTTACACACTGCGCCTATTTCTCTATAAACTACTCTTCCCCTTGATATTATTTAGTCATGTCACCCATCATTTTTAATGCATTCACAATACCAGATTTCCACCTTTAGAAATACTCCAGTTCCTTCTGCATATTAACCCTATAGTGTCTCAATACACCCTGGTGGTTGAAACCAGCCTGAAGTGTTATTGTCTTAAGCCAGTTTAAGATACAAAAAGAAGTTTCATCTGTCCAGAACAATTCAAAAATAAATCATCTTTCTTATTCCAGATTTCACTTACTGTCTTTTGCTATTGATACTATTCCCACCCCCACCACATCTCTAAATTAAGGTAGGATTTTTATTGACACATACTAATTACCTGGGGAAAAAAAGAATGATCTATTCCGTTTCCACCAGCTGCCAGTTGTCAACACTGGCTGGAACAAGTGATCAGCCTTGTTTCAAAGAACAAAAAAAATCACTAAGGTTTACGAATAATAATAAAAAACAAAACCCAAAGAATTTCACCGGATCTCAGATACTGCCTGGTGTGTTTATATGATTGAATGCAGACAGCTTTGAATGGACTGCTCTGTTTCTAATTGCAAAAAAATATATTAAGGTGTTAGCCCCGCACACAAAAAAAACCCTCCAAATTAAGTATGAAAGAAAAATAAAATAAAATCAGAAATGCAGCCTCAACGCACCGACGGTCTGCACTTAAAAGATTTACAGGAGTAATTTAAATGGTTCACCTGCTGCCAGTTTTCCTCCAAGGATGGCAAAGCTGAGAAGTAGCCGGTGTCGTGGACAAGCTGTAGTTCCTGGAATATACTATAACTAGCCAACACATCCATGCTGCTGCTGAACAAAACCCTTTTGTTTTGTTTTGTGTTTGTTTGTTTGTGGTGGGGTTTTGTTTTTGATCATAAAAAACAACAATAGATCCAATGTCCCTTTTTGTTTTGTTTTGTTTCTGTCACACTGTACCCCAAAAAAAATCAATTCAGGAAAGAGAGGGGAGGAAAAAAAAAACCCCCCAGTGAGAATGGCTAGATGCACCCAATATGTACAGTGCAAACAGCAACCAGCAAAAGAGGGGGGACTCTTCCACTTGTAGTAAATGCAATTCCCTTCCAGGGCTCTAATCACTCCACTTCTTGGACCAGGAAGGGGGAATGCAAACTCACTGACACGAAACTGCCATCTATTTCTGCATTGCTGCTCGCTGCTCAGCGCAAGCTTTGCTCTTTATTTTTGGGAGGTTGCATTTTTTTTTCTCGCGATCGCTTTTTTTCTCAGCCCCCATTGTCCCCCCCTTTCAAAGCCAATCCCCCCCCCCTCCTCAACCCTGCAAGCTCAGAGCCCCCCCCTTCTCTTCGTCCCCCTCCCCTCCCATCTTTTCTCCGCGCAGCCGTCAGCTCTTGAAGGAAGCTGTCCATTAAGACAACGCGTGACCATGTAAGGCGAAGAGGGGGTGGTGGGGGGAGCCCATGAAGTCACTGAAGCCCAATGAGGGCCAAAGAGAAGGGGTCGGAGGCGGAGCCTGGCACGGAAGGGCCGTGCGGATTGGATGGGGGTTGATCTCCCCGCTGCCTTACAAGGCAGTGTAAGGCGAGCTATTTTTAGAGGGCTATATAAGGGGCGCAGGGCTGCGCGCGCCTGCCTGGGGATGGGAGAGGGGGTGATGGAGAGACACGGGCCCTGGCTGTGGGCAAGCAGTGTGGGGAGGTTTGCAAAGAGAGCCCCGTAAAGAGACACGGCAGGTAGGCGCTCTCCCCGTGCCCGGCTCCCAGCAGCGTGCACACAAAAGGACCCACAACATCACCTCCCTCCCTATCCCACCAAGGGTGCACCAGGGCTCGGAAAGCGGCAGCCTCCGGTGGCGTCTTAATTGCAAAACCCAAATGTTCCGGGGAGAAGGACTTGCTCGTTATTTACCAGTGTAAGGAGAAAAACGCCCCTCTTAAAATACAAGGCACAGCCGGGAGGGGAGGGCAAAACGCCTATTCCCAAGGAAGTAGGATCTGGCTTCTGGTTTCTCTTATTTGGCTGTCTGTTCCGCCCCAGGAGGAGCGTGTCAGCCCTTCCCTGGAACGTGCCACCGGGAAAAAATCTTGGACTGGAACCAGGGGAGAACGTGGTGCAGAGGTAGTGGAAGAAAGAGTCAGTGTAATCAGAGAAGGAAAGCAGATAGTTAAATCCAGGCTGTCTGATTTAACCCTGTTGTGCAGACTAGTGTTCTGCTCGCCAGCTCCCCAGCGCAGCTCTGCCCGGAGAACCATGTGCGCGCCCCTGCCTGTTTTCTTCCCATGCTGATCCCTGAAGGGGGAGGATCTGTAGAAAAATTCCGATTCCCAGTCAACAGTTGATTGAGAGAGGGCACGTCAGACTGGTGTGTAAATTGTAAGGGGTGAGAGGGGAAGACTAAATAGCGTTACAGCAGGTGTGTGAAATCTGTTGGAATATGAAGGATTTGGGAGGGAGTTTTAGACACGTGCCCAGCGTCTGTGTATATTGTGGGTATCTAGCCCAGACAAGGATAATGCAGGCTCTGAGAAGCAAGAAGTGCTGAATGTTAATCAGGCTGGACTACCTCCATAAATGTACATGTATTTATTAAGTCAATAGAGATTCATCAAAGCATTTAACCAGGCTTAGCTGTTACCTGATCCTCCTGCATACTAGTTTGGGTTAGCTAGTGAGCTGTTTGACCGTAAATGGTTAGTGTGATGGCAGCTTCCCCAAATTGCTCTTGGAGCTGGGCAGAGTTGCATTTCTGCTTTTGGAATGATTGCAGAAGTGTGACTGTGCTAATTTAAAGATGATGGGTTTTTTCCAGTAATAGAAGAAATAGGTTCTCTTTGTCTCTCTTAAATTCAAAGGGCCCATGAGTCCCATCAGATGCGCAGCCAGGGCCATATCCTGCCATCAGTCAGCGTGCAGAGCTCCCTCCAGTGCCCTTTTGCTAGGGACCCAGGAGTGTGAGAGTTGGAATGGTTATCAACATAAACAATTTTTGCCACAGGTGCTGCCATGTGCTCTCAGGCCATCTGGTTTTGCAACAGTTGCATCACCACTTTCCTGCCCCTACGTGAATAAGATGAACACATTTAGCCACCATCTATTTCTGCAACCCAACATGAGTTCCCAACATTGTCAGCTGATGTAAATTGGAATAGCTCCACTGACTTTAGCGAAACTGTGCTGATTTACACCAGCTGAGGATCTGGCCCCTTCAGTGTCGCTCACAGTAATGTTCAGGTATAAAGTAAACTGGCAGTAATGATTTTTGCGCGTGTTTTGTCCCCTTCTGAGTTTTTTTGCACAGAAAGAGACAATCAGGGCCAAATTATGGGGAATGCTGTTTTCTAGCACTGACTTCATATTAAATGCAATAATTCTGTAGCTGAAATTTGTGTTTGGAGGAGATGTAACTTTGGATTCTGTAAATAATCATCAGGAGCGATGGGTTTGGGGGGACTATAAAAATAAATGTCTTTGGCACTGCGAAAGTACACATTCTTTTAGAGTGTGGGTTTGTTATGAAAAATAGTTGGATGGTTCGTGGGCTTGATCAAAGGGTGCTCAGTCTTTCACGTCTGCAGCCTGCACAGTTCATTGGTGATGGTGAGTCACAGTTTGTTGGCAGTTCAAAGGCCTGTGTGGGGAAAAAAAGCATTGCCTTTCTCTCTCCATTCACTAACCCATTGTAAAAGAACTACCCCATTTGGCAGAGGAGAAGAGAAGCTTTGCACTGGCTGTATCTGTGCTGGAGGTGTTCTGAGGATAGACATCATCAGTTTCCAGGGTTTATTGGTCTCCCAGAGTAGTGACAGATTTTCTGAGCACACGGAATGACATGTCAGGTAAAGATCCTAATGAAAGGACAAGAAAAGAGAGAATCCTAAACCAAGCGGGTCAAATATGATAGGAAACAAGACAAGGCAATTGTTACACAGCTACTGTACCAAGAAAAACCTGTTTTAGAAAAAGCTTTCAGTGAGCATTTGTCCTTCACAGATCATCTTTGGAACATGATTTCAGAGCAAGAAACTTGTAATGAAGCTGTCCTTGGCCTGATTAAGGGTACAGAAGATGAAGACCACTGAATTTGCACAATTTGGACTATTTAAGTCTCCATTTCTATCTACTGATTTAAGAGTTTCCCAGGGCTGAAAAAGCACTTTACATCGCACCTCTAGCCTTGAATCAGGTGTGGCTTTTTAATAATTGTGCGTATCTACAATTTTAATAACAAGCAAGGTGCTGAGCAGTTGGACCCCCAGAGCTAAGGACTTCCTCTTTCACAATGATTAACCTGTGGCTTTGTTTCAGCACTTTCCATTTCTAAAAGGAAGAGAGGATCTTTTCCGTATTCCAGGCCTCCGTTTAGCCCAGTTTCCCCTCTCTCATACAGTCATGCCCATCTGGAGTAATACCATTGATTTCAGAAAGGGACGATTTCCATTCTCACTTACCCCAGTGCAGATCTGTAATGGAGTTACTCTAGATTTGTATGGGTGTAAGTGAGAGCAGAATTTGGCCTTTACGGCTTGGGGATAGATTGCTCAAAGCTCCAGGTTGTCAGTCCCTACTGACAGACGACCTTATAGGAGTCTCCTGTGATACGGTATTGATCAATTTCACTTTCTTGCCCTACCTGTCGTCAGAGATTTCTGCCTTGGATCGTCATTGTTTGTTTTGATTTTATTTCTTTCAAACTTCTCTGGCTAATACTGCACATGGAGAAATTACTATATTTCTGTCCTCCTGGAAAAGGCTGCTCTCGAGTAGGGCACTACACTGCTGGACACCAGCTGAGAATCTAGCCCGCAGTCTTTTATCAGGCCGCATGGTTACTAAAGGCCAGACTTTGCCATTAGATATAGGCATGCAGCTCCCGTTAGTTTCAGAAGGACTGCATGCTTGTAGGTGAAGGCAGAATTTGGCCTTAAGCCTTGATGTGAAGTTCTGTGCTAAGATTCTGGCCACCTGCCTGGAAATGATTCAAAGGGCATCACTCCATGGTTTCCAGGAAGGTGTTTAATTTTTATTGTCTGCAGCGTTGTGGATATTCTGCTTAGACGTTGGTTCAGAAAGCAGGCTCTGCCTTTCTCTTAAAGCTGGATGGGGGAAATGTCTGAACCTGGTGTGACGGGTTGGATCACAGAAACCCCCTTGGGAGCTGCCACCTAATGTGCAAAGACTACCCCTGCTTCTGTTTTCCCTGCCAGCTCAGGACTCCAGCACCCCGTCTTGCTGAATTAGACACTCCAGTCCACTTCAACACAGACCCAGGGTCTGAATCACTTGTCCCAAAACTGCAAGTTTACCCAAAAACAGCTCACAGGAGTGTGCTTGTCTTTAGCACTCAGATGCCCAACTCCCAATGGGGTCTAAACCCAGATAAATCCGTTTTACCCTGCATAAAGCTTATGCAGGGCAAACTCATAAATTGTTCGCCCTCTATAACACTGATAGAGAGATATGCACAGCTGTTTGCTCCCCCAGGTATTAATACATACTCTGAGTAAATTGCTAAATAAAAAGTGATTTTATTAAATACAGACAGTAGGATTTAAGTGGTTCCAAGTAGTAACAGACAGAACAAAGTAAGTCACAAGCAAAATAAAATAAAATGCGCAAATCTATGCCTAATCAAACTAAATACAGATAATCTCACCCTCAGAGATGCTTCAGTAAGTTTTTCTCAGACTGGACACCTTCCAGGCCTGGGCACAATTCTTTCCCCTGGTACAGCTTTTGTTCCAGCTTAGGTGTTATCTAGGGGCTTCTCCATGATGGCTCCTCTCCCTCTCTGTTCTCTTCCACCCCTTTATATATCTTTTGCATAAGGCGGGAATCCTTTGTCCCTCTGGGTTTCCACCCCCCCTCACTGGAAAAGCACCAGGTTAAAGATGGATTCCAGTTCAGGT